AACAGAGCCGATGCACTTGATCTCTACCTTGTCTTATGAGCAAGACACGCTTCAAGCAAAGTGTGGGAGAGTCAGTTGATTCTCTAAATTTCTACAAGTGTTCTGAGCCTGTCAAACCAAAATCAAAAATCAAAATCAAGATAGGTTTGGCAAAAAAAGGTGACAATACCATTGGAGGCGTTATCACAAGAATCCTCATCTTCAGAGCAAACCGAGGAACTTGATCAATGACTTCACAAGGAGAAGTCCAGTTCGAAGGACTTAAAACACCAAACCCTCACCGAAAGAGCTAGCTTGGGGGAGAAGCACTCCCATGTATCCAGGTAAGTATTATTTCCCTTTTTGTTTTAGTTTTTAGTTTCTTTTAAATAGTTAAAAATGATGAATGAAAAACAAAATAAAAAGTTATCTATATAATAAATATATATAGTTATAGTAATAATGTGTGATCTAGTAAAATTGAAAACAAAATAAAAAGGTGTGTCTAGTTTGTTTTAATTTGTTTTTAAGAGCTGAATAAAATAAAGAGGACTCATAATAATCTCTTAAATGGAAATGATGAATAGTTGCTCTATTGTAATTCCTTTCAAGTACCTAATTTTCAGCCTTGAATTCTCCTGAGTTTTGGATACGACTGATTTGATATAAAGATTTACTCTAAACTAGAAACTCATAGGTAGCGAATGCTTGATCTAAGTCTAGGTAATTGACGGATATGATATGAGAAGGTCTGAGCTATTGTTTATCTTGTTCCTAGTGACACTAAACTTCTAGAGATTTAACTTTGAAAAAATAAAAATACTATATGATGAGTTCCTGTATGACAAAGCTTGAATTCCCACCATAGCCATACATGTTATTTAGGATAGGAAAACTTCCACATATATGTTGCGTACTTTTGCATTGAGTTTTGTCAAGCTTTATTGAACCTTATGAGAGGTTTGTCATGCTCTTAAAATCAAGATCACATACACACCACCCAAATATGCACTACTCCTACACTGGGGTAGGCGTAGATATATGCCTTCCATCTAGATCTGCCCAAAAATGTTTTACTCCTACACTGGGAGTGAACACCAAAAATATGCTTGATAGGTTTTCCATTCACCAAATAAATACTCCAAGTTCTTGTTGCTATCTCTCAAAGTTTTGTTGCAGAAAAGAGACATGGAGCTATGCAAAAGTTATTCATAAAAAAAAGAAAAAAAAAACAATGATGATGAGAAAAAATGGATACAAAAGTGTCCAAGATATTTAAAACAATGGGTACTCAGATGCCCGCCTTGAAAAAAAAGAAGAAGAGATGAATAAGATTGCCCTTGTTCTCTAGCAAATGTTTCTAAGTTTCAAAGGAGAGATATGTTTTCAAGGAACACAGTAGAATTAGGTTAGCCACCATATATATCCACCATACATCCACACACATGCATATCTTGATTTGATTGTATGACTCAACTCTCTTTGGATCCATTGTTTGACATTACAATATATGCATTTGCAAGTATGCTCTAGCTTTCTCCCTACCTATGAACTCCATATAAAACCTTAGTGGTAGGAAGAAAAAGGCATAACATCTTTATTGCCTTGGTGAGGATCCACAAATACCACATATATTGAGAGACTTGAGAGTGTCATACAACAGAATCTCTGAGTTTTATTTTGAAAACTTATAAAAACTCCAAAACAATGGTGGAACAAAGAAATTTGAGACATAGTGCTTGACTTGATCGTTCTGTCCTTCAATTGCTCAAGACCCAAGTGAAGGCTGAGAATCCCCATAGTAGAAGGTAATATGGGTAAGTTTGAAAGTCAAATCAGTTTATTCTAATCCAGAGAAGAATTCTTGTTTGAACGCATGTGTACCTTTGAGGCGTGAAAACATTGTAGCAACTCCTGATCCATTAATGAGTTTAGATTTGCTAAGGTACTAGTAAAGGTTAAGCTTGGGGGAGTTGTTGATGGTAGTTAACAACCATTATAAACCATCACTTAAACATGTATAAGGGCATAAATGTAATCACCAATGAAGGTTTAGGGATTTAAACTAATGAATTACATGAGCTTTGGTAATTTCATGACTGCAGGAGGATTTATCTAGAAAATAGCTCTTGGAACCACTATCATACACTCCAAACAAGCAAACCGACGACAACAAGTGATTCTACCTGCGACACCTATGAAAGTCGACTCAAGATGAAGCCCAAGCCTCGCCACTAGAAGGAGAAGCTCACCTGGCACCATAGTGGGCCGACCGGCCCACTAGGGAGGTCGCCCGACCCATGGGGGTGGCCCATCACCCTCCGCCACCGCGTACTCCTTCCTATAATCTACACCATTGATTTTAAAGCGGTTTTAGGTCGGTTCATCCAACGGTGGTCAAGAGAGATGACGTGGATCGATGATGTGGCAATTCCTTGCCCCGTACTCCTCCTAGAGTCCTTGCCCCTTACTCCACCTATATTCCTTGGCCGCTACTCTACCTCTGGCCTATATATAGCAGCCCCTACCCCCTTCCCTCATCAGATCCTAAAACCCTAATTCATATTCTCCTCATGAGGATCAAATCTAGCTATCAAGAGAAGATTAGTCCTCTATAGGATTTAGTCTTATAATTAGAAATAGTGAGATAGAGAGTGAGAAAAGAGTTTGGAGGAGATGCCGGCCTGTCGGTGTTCTCTCTATGGCTTGCACCTTGGTGGATTCAAGTTCTAATTGACCTTGCTTTTGAGATTTCTCTGGTAATCAACTTCTGATTCAAGTAAGTATCTTGCTTATATTGTTCTTCAGGTTCAAAACTCTTTTGAGTACTTTATTCCTACACTAGAGGGAGTAGAGTATTAATTGTAAGTGTAAGCATGGTGCTTAGACTTAGGTTAATCATGGATGCACCCTGCATTCTGGATCGGTGGTGACTCGCGAGGGTGACTCTTATAGCCTCGTTGAATCCTTTGTAGTCCACCTCTTGTCTGTAGGAGCATGTAAGACGTGGTTGTGAAGGAAAGCATCCTCTACTGGTGTCTTTCCCTCGTAATGTCCCCAGTTGAACAGTACAAGATATAAGCTTACCCAAGTCAGAACTAGAGAACCTCGGTTGTCCTCTCTACGCTCCTATTTATCCTAACCTTGTTGCTACACCTAGATAAATTAACCCTTAACCTATTCACTACCCCTCGTTAAGTTAGACCGTAGTTAGTCTCACATGTTTCCCTGTGGATATGATACTTGGAATACTTTTGGGTGAAAGCTACAATGGTATCCGTGCGCTTGCGGATTTATCTATGTGCGTTAAAATATACCAACAAGCTTTCTAGCGCCTTTGCTGGGGAAACGGTTGCTGAATTAACTTCGAGCCTAGCTTAATATTTTTTAGCCTGGATTCCACTTCTATTTATCAATATGCTAAACCCACAAGCACAAGCCTAAAGGCACCAGAATCCTTAGAGCCTATCATGACACCTGGTTATGAGCTGCGCCCGTGTTTAATAAAATTGATTCGGGATAAATCCTTCTTGTGAGAAGGCGATGAAAACACATACTCACACCTACGAGAGTTTGAGCAGATATGTGCATGCTTGTATATCACTGGCTCTATGGTGGCTCTACAGGCAGCGTTAAGTGCGATTCTATGGTGGCTCTATGGTGGCTAGAGCCACCCGCCTTGTCACCAGAGCAAGCGGCACCGCCCCACATGGCGGTGTTCGCTTCCCCAGCGAGATCTCCGTCATGGCTGGAGCACTCCTCGACATAGGAGCCTCACACAGAAAGGGGCTTGCCCGACGATGGGACCTACATGCTAACTCCATGAATAGCTAAGTTCCCCGGCAACTAAGCTATTTTTTCATATGTTCTTCACCTCTCAAATTGCCATTGGGGGAACACGCCGACCCCGCTCGAATCAACCCGCCTTTGGGCCACGAACCTCCTTGCCCCAGTCTCACGGTCGGGGAGCAAAGCTGCCCTGTTCTCCCTCTATTGACCATCGAACGGGATAAGCTAACGCCCTAATGCCACACAGGCACCACCCGGGCTAACGGAGCTAACAGCTAATGACCACTAGGCTCTAAAAGAGGGAAGCAGACACCGAGGATGCTCCCCACCAAGACAAACAGAGCGTGGAGTGGGAGCGACAGCGAAAGCGCAAAGATTTGACGAACAGGCATGCCCTTAGTGTAACGATTGTTCAAAGGGGGATAGAAACCTTGAATTATAGAAATAGGTTTTACAGCCTAATCCTTGTGTAGGTCACGGGGATGCTAGGGGATCCATGGGCACACCCTCTTCTTATGGATACTCATTGATCAACAACAGCTTGTCATCGACGATGCCCGCTGCGGTGGCGACCAAGGGCGCCACCGCGCTCTCGGCTTCTTCTAGCTCCTTGTCGGAGGTCTTATTGGGCACGCCCAGGGCCACTGCACCTAAGTCAGCCTATGGGGGCTGAAGCTTCGTCAAGATCAGGGCCTCGGTGGCCCCCTGGTGGACCACGCTCCTGACGACTCATGGAACAAGCACCGCGAGGGAGCGTACCCTTCTGACAAGGTCGTGCTCCGCCTTCGAGGGTGACGAAGGGAGCCGAACATCACACGCCTCTTCCACGCTAGTGGCGAGCCCCTCCAACTTTGCCCGCATGGCATCTAGCTCCTACCCATGCTTCGCTAGGGTGGTCTAGCCATCCACCGACACCTTCGCCTCAGCCTACAGCTCCTTCCATAGGCGGTCGCACTCCACACATGCCTTCTCTGCCTCCTCTAGCCGAAGGACCTCGCCACACTCATCTGTGAGCGCCACTGGTAGCCCTACATTGTGTGAAGTAAGGAGCACTGGGTTCATGGTGGCACGGGATGAAAGACCCCACCCCGGGGGCAAGGGAGAGAAGGAAGAGAAGAGGATGCACCTATAATGAGCCCCTAGGCCTCATGAAGCTCGAAACGGGCAGTATCCCTCATGGTCTCCAGTAGGCCTAGGGAGACCCTTAGCTCCATGAAAATACCCTCGGCCATCTAGCAAGCCTCCTTCGCCTCTACAACCTTCTGCCGAGACACCTCAGCCCTCGCCTCCGCGTTGCACTTGGCCTCCCATTCTGCCGCCAGCTCAGAATCCAGACGTGCCACGACGCTGCGTGCCCCATCGCCTTCCCTGACAAGTGCCTCCATCAGTGCTGCCACCCGCTTGCCAGTTGGAGGATAGGGGTTGGGGAGCAAGGTGGGCAAGGACCTCGTGCCCCCATCAGAGGGGCTAGAAAGCGCCCATGGAGCAGCCTTCTCCCACTCCCGGATGAGGTCCGACTTTCTCTGGGAGAACTGGACCAGCACCTGCAACAACAACGACAACAAGGAAGCTCAAGCAAAACCTCGGCTCCAGCTATGGCGTCACGACCATCTGGTCGATTCTCACCCCACAGGAGGCATATATCCCCTGTTGAAGACCGAAGAACGTCCCCATAGGGGCCCATCATCTCTGCGATGGAGTCATAGAAGAAGGCGACCAGCTCATCGAAGGCGCCACGCCACTTCATCAGCTCCAACCATGTGTCCGCCTTGGGGCCATCGTCCAGCATGTGTGGTCCCCCTACTAGCGACACAGGAGCAGCCAGCGTAGCCACAGACGAGGAACCAGCATCCTTGTGTCTCAGGGCCGGGGGGAGATCAGGGGCAGCGGCCTACCTCGAGTCTACCTCTACTTCAGGGGGAAGGTCCCCCAAAAGGGGGCCTCCTCCCATGGCGTTGGATCTCTTTGGACATGCCTAGGCATCAACAACTGGCCCCTCCATGACAGCGTCTGGCCTTGACACCTTGCCCACTTAAGGTGGCAACAACGGGTGATGGTGCACCTTCAGCACCAGCGGCCGAAATGGCACCGCTGCACCGCCCAAAGCCCCTACCAACGAAGATTCCCTGTAGTCAATATCCGCATCGTCAAGCAATAAACATATGACCTTTAGACAATGGCGGCCTAATTAACAAAAGTCTTCACCTATTGCCTAAAGAAAGCCTCAGAGGAGAGCACCTATTCCGTGGAGGCAACCCTGCCCCAAAGGAACTCGAATAGGGGCGCTTCCCACGTGGCCCAACTAGAGGGAGAACCTCCCAAGGATGGGCTAGGGGACGTGCCCCTAGTGGTGGGGAAGAACTCCTAGAGGTGACCTCGCCCCCCTACCCCTTGGGGCTAGGGAGACGAAGACCGTCCCTAGATAAGGGAGGTCGACAAGTCTCGGCTTGAACACCGAGAATGGGGCCAGGCCTTCATCGACTGATGGCTCCCCCGACGCAGATCCGAGCACCATCCATGCGATCCCCGTCATGGACTCCTCCGAGAGGTGACCCTCCGCCACCGCGGACTGGTCCCCTAACCCAAGGTACTCCCACATCGGGGCAGCCCTCGCCATCAGCGGAAGGATGCGGTGGAACAAGAACACCCAGAGCACCGTCCTGTCAGTCAAGCTGGCATTCCTTAGGGCGGTGACCCGGTCTAGCTAGCCCTCGGTGACCTCAACGGTGGGACCCTCTAGGACCATCTTCCAAGATGGCTATGCCACCATCCCTAGATGGTCGGGGGAGTAGGACCAGTAGAGACTCGGAAGGATCCGGAAGATAAAACCTTTTCTGCTGCCACCCCTTTTCGTAGGTGGGAAAGGAGAGCTCCAGGTACCACAGCTTTAGGTTGTTGCACACCTAGATGGTGGTGGCGCTGATCTGTTGTATGGATCCATCGCCGTACTTATTCAAGTTTAGTCGGAAGATCCTCCTCCACAAGTCGAAGTGAGGCTTGATCCCCAAATAACACTCTTAGAGGGTGACGAACACCGCAAGGTGGGCCACCCCATGCGGCGTTAGGTCATGGAGCCGCAGCCCGAAGTAGCGGAGGAACCTCCCCATGAATGGATGTGTGGGGACGCCAAACCCAGCAAGGTGGAATGGGATGAAGGAAACAACCTACGACTCCCACTATTGCTTTAAATTCATAGGATCTTGTATAACAAAAGAAAGTTTTAAATTCATAGCCTACCACTATTGCTTGAATGATTAATTGATCTAGTAGTTAGTATATGAATTTGTTCATGAGCTAATGAACCCAAGTACTTGATCTAATTTGGATTCCCAACAAGTGACAAGTACAACCTCGATAAGATAACCTCCAAATGAGTGTGAAGAATCTTAAAGAGGGTTCAAACCGGACTTGGAAGCTTAGGCAAATCAATTTAGTTCAAGTCAACTTAGAAGTTCACGATATATGACAAGAGTACAAGCATAAGACAACAATGCAAATGGATATCTAGTTTGGTTGATTCAAGTAGTATCTAGACTCAAATGATCTTTCATCAAGACTCCACAAGTGATGTCTAGATCAACTTACAAGTGATATCCTACAAGTGGTACTCATGAAGATAGCAAATGTTCAAGAAATGATTTTTATTAACAAATCAATCACACACGTGGCATCACATCTCTACATATGGTATCATTCATACAAGATGGTGGTTCCACAAGTGATCCTCAACCTTAAGTGATCATCAAGTCAAAGATGCTTTCCTCATCTACAAGAGTTCAAGATTCTCAGGTGTCAAGACCCATGTTTGGACATAGGGGGAGGAGTCCCACTACAATTGGTATCAAGGTTACAAGATCCTACACATGGTGTCTAAAGAGCTATACAAGTGGTGTCCATCAAAAATGCAAGATTCAAGTATCAACCATCTACCCCAAATGCAAGCCTTTGCATAAAAAAGAAGCACACCTTTTTATGGAAATTGGTGACAAAGGGAGAGAGATTGTACAAAGATATGAAAGCTTTGGGAAAGATTGAGACAAAGAAGTAGAGGCTGGACATGGACATGGACAAAGAGGGAGCAACATTGAAGAATTGAGAAGTATCAAAATTCTTGGACAAAGCGAAGCACACAAGTAGGGGGAGCAAGCTCATGAACTTTGATTGAGTGCATTTGATATGTGCATATTCATGTGCTTGCTTGCATTGCATAAGTTTTTAAATTTGATATGCATGCTTGTGTGGTGTATGCTAGTTATAGAATTTGATTGATGAAATAAAAACTAGCATGTATAGGATGGTAGCTAGACTTGTGTTTCTATATGTGGTACTAGAACCTTGCTTATAATGTTAATCTCACGGGGTTTCTAGTATTTTTGTTGAGTGACAGTCAGGCCTCGCTTGGACCTGCGCGTCCGATCATGTGTTCCAGAGAGGGCACGGTCTCGATCATGTGACCGGACGCTGGCGTGAAGAGGTGACCTGACGCGCTGAGGCTGCGTTCGATCGGTCGTGATGTACGCTGACGTCTTGGCACGAGGAGCAGCAGTGACACATGGCAAGCAGTGAAGGACCGGACTCAAGTGCTATGTCCGATCGCGACCAACCTGACGCGTTCAGTCGTAGTTTAGGGATTCCAGGAGCCCTCTGGAGTCAACCTGACTCAGGTGGTGGCGCAGCATCAGGTGGCGCGAAGGCGTGTCTGGTCAGATGGTGGACGAGTGCTGGCACGCGCGATCTGATGCAACATGGCAACATTAGGTCAGGGCTCGATGCGTCGGGTCATCACATGACCGTTGGCTCACAGCTGCCGACCATTGAAGATCAACGCTCACGGTTGAATCTAGGCTGACACGTGGACGGTGGATTGTGATCGGACGCTGGTCGGGTGCGTCCGATCAAGGTGATCTGTGTGTCCCGTCGTGTTGCAGAAAGCCTAGTGAAGGGGTAACAGCTAGTTTAGCCCTTAGGGCTATAAATGGAAGTGTTGGTCGGCCTTTGGCCAGTTGCTGAGCACACTAGAGCCTTGGTGGCTTATGTGGTGGTGCTTTGGAGCCCTCTAACTCACTCTTGCTTGATAGTGTTCATCCGATTGAGTGAGTGAGCAAGTCTAGTGCTATTGCATCATGAGGTTGCATCGAGTGGCACTAGGTGATCATGTTGTAAGCCGGTGGTGCTTGTTACTCTTGGAGGTTGCCACCTCCTAGATGGCTTGGTGGCTTGTGACTCCGTTGAAGCACTTGAGAAGATTCTACGGTGCTCCAGAGGAGGATTTGTGAGGGGGATTGTGCTCACCCTGCGGGGATCACGAAGAGCAACTCCAGTTGAGCGTGTCATTGAGCTACCCTCATTTTAGGGTAGGTTCTTACAGTGCCCGACGTGTGGGCTTGGTGGGTGATGCCAATTAGCCGTCGAACCACCAAGTGAACGGTCGACACAACGGGGACAAAGCTTGGTGGCAACCAAGTGAACCTTGGAAGAAAATCACCGTATCAACATTGTCTTCATCATCTTCTCTATGGTTTGCATTCCGTGAAACACAAGCTTGTATTACTTTCATTTACATTGTGCTTGTGTAGTTGCTCTTGAGACTAGTTTAGCTTTAGTAGCTTGCTAGTTGCCTTCTTGCTTGTGTAGCATAGAAGTAGCTCCCTTGCATGGCTAATTTGGTTCTAGTAACCTTGTTAGTTACATTGCTTAGTTTGTGTAGCTAAGTAATTTGCGCTCTATAATTTGGCTTGTGTAGCCTTGTTATTGAGCATTGCTAGTGAGCTTAGGTGGCTTTGTGCTTTTGCTTCACTAGTTGTGTAGGTGCTCCCCGGTTTGGTTGAAGTACTAGTTGCATAGGTTTGTGTGACCTTGCAAGCTAGAATTGGATAGGTTGTGGCAGAACCTCCTAAATTATAGGACCCACATACATTTGTCACTGTCCAAAGACCTTTGACAACAATGCATATGTTCCTGGTAACTTAAGAAGTCTGTCGGGTGTCCTCGGGGAACCCCGAATCATCCATGATTTCCGAGCAGGATCACATTACAGAGTCATTGCAGTATTACAACAGTTTATTCAAATAAATACATCAGAGTAAAAGTAGCGGAAGACTTACAATAACATAGTTTACAAACCATTTATTTCAAACCATACAACTAAGTTTGATATTAATACAAACCAAAGTAGTGGAGCGGCATTATAATATAATACAAAACACACAATGAGGCTGCCCTGCCCAAGGGCCACACAATTACTTCTCAACGCCATCACAAGGTACAACTGTCATGCAGCACGATCCAAAACAGATCTGCTCATGAGGCTCACCTGCAACAAGGGTCAACGAACCCTGACTACAAAAGTACTCAACAAGACTTAACCGAAATAAGAACTGATAACTCAGGAATGCAGGCTCAGGGATTCAAGGTATGGTTTTAGCAATAATCAAAGTTATTTTGCGTAAAAGCTCTTTGACAAAATTCTTTGTTTCAACAGTTTAAACTTCATAAAATCATATACAAAGATGACACGATCCGTAATGAGATCATGAAACTTCATATCCAACACCTTCATCAACCATTCTCAAGTTCCAGTTATTAATTACTACGATGATGAACAGTGAGTTGAGTCTCCATAACCGAGGAGCAACGACGATTCGAACCGATTATAAACCCAGCTGGGGACTCCAGACCACATGACATATGCAGGTCCCTGACCTACATATACCAACCTATTCTCGGATCCTCTAAAACAAGAATGGGTCCGCGCCACCCGAGAATACAGTACTCCACCAATCCAGCCCATTGCCACGTGGGTACACGCTATTCCCGCCATCTCTCCACTCCCAGTGCGCGAGTAGCCATTCTCGTAATAGAATTGCCAAGTTCAGGCTTACCGGAGTATGTGGTTAGTACTACAAATTCTCACCTCATGCAATTTAACAACGGACGTGCCTTAATCGACACAGGCGGAAAGATCCCGCTCACAAGACCTCCATGTCTTGTGGCTCACACACACCGAGTCCGCCCGGTCTAGATTTATTACTCCACATTCCCATATCACATGCTAACATAATTAACCAATGTTCCATTTAAAACTTGCAGGTGGCAGGTAGTCACCGACTTCATCGTTCTACGCATAGCTAAGCAAAACTAGGCATATACGAGTTCAAAACTGGTAATATGGTAAATATGGAATAACAAGGGTGGTAATGCACCAATTAGGCTCTTACTTAACTCTTAATCACTTAATGCAGTAACGGAAAGCAAAAGCGAAATTAATTTGTAAAACACAAGGTAGGGTTGTATGCATCCGGGGCTTGCCTTCGTTGACGGAAAAGTTCGGCTCCTGCGACGTTTCACAAGTCTTCAATCCGACCTCAACAGACAGATCAACCTCCTCCGCAACTTGATTAACTACCATGTGTTCACCTTCGTTTACTACACGTAGTAACATTGCCATGTTTAACATGATGAGGAATATAAAACATGATGCTCGATGATGGATGCAAAAATTAATAAATTGGATACAATTTTCCTTCGCAGTACAGTTACAAACCAAACTAACCAAACCATATTCGTAACTGATGTGACCACACCAGCACCGATCACTTTGGTGAACTCTCCGACCAC